GGCAATTGGTGTCAATTGCTGGCTGGACAAATACTGTAAGGAAAATGCGGTAACATTCATTGACAACTGGGACCTCTTCTATGGCAGAAATGACATGTATGCTAGGGATGGGGTTCACTTATCTAGGTGTGGGGTGGAGGCACTGGCAACTGCAGTGGAGGGAGCAGTTAGGACTTTAAACTAGGAATAGTTAGTGGTATGGGTTTTGGCAGGAAAACAGTGAAGTCCCAGTGTAGTAATATTACGAGTTCTAGGGAAATAGTAATAATAAGAACGGATAGATATTGAAAAGCCAGGGACCTTGGGTGATAAGGACGGTAATAGGTTTAGTAGAAAAATAGAAATGAGCAGGAAGGGTAAGAGAAGGAGAGTCTTTCAATGTTTTATTATGCTAATTGCCGTAGTGCTAGGAATAAGATGGACGAGTTGAGATTAGTTGCTAGTGTAGGTAACATTGATGTATTTGCCTTAACTGAGACGTGGTTTAATTCAAAAGCGGGACATGCCTGCGGAATGTCATATTCAGGGTTTTTAAATTGTTCCAAGAGATAGAAGTATTGGGAGGGGGGGTGGGGTGGCATTGTATGTCCGAGAACGCTTGAACTGTTGCATAAAAACGGGTATTAAGTCTGAAGTAACACAATACAGAGTCTGTTTGGATAAGAATTTTCAGAGGGGCATGAAAAATGATTTTAGGAGTGATATATCCGTCCCCCTAACTTAGATAGGGACCAGGGAAACTACTATGGGAGGAAATTGTTAAGGCCACAAGGCACGATAATGTAGTAATTCTAGGAGACTTTAAACTTTAGTCATGTTGATTGGAATTTCTTGACTGGGAATTTAGAATCGTACGACTTCTTAGAAGTATTTCAGGATTGTTTTTTGAAGCAGTTTGTGACAGAACCTACAAGGGAAATAACCTGCTTGACTTAGTTATGGCAAACAATGAATCCCTTGTTAATAATTTAGAAATTTCAGAGGAACTGGGTGCTAGCGACCACAAATCAATTACATTTAGCATTGAATGGAAGTACAATAGTAGCGATAACTCAGTAACAGTCCCAGATTTTCGCTTAGCAGATTACGATGGGCTTAGAGAACACTTATCATCTGTTGACTGGGGTAACGATAGAGAGCTATCAATATGACAGTTTTTGACACTATACATGCTGCTCAAAGAGCAGTTTATCCCATACAAAGAAATTAGATCAAATAGAAATGACCCAAAATGGATGAATAATAGGCTCAAATTTCTACTAGGGCATAAGAAGGAATTTATAGGCGTATCAAAAGAGGTGAGGGTCATCTTATGAATCAGTATATTGACATTAAGAGGGACATTAAAAAGGGGATAAGAAAAGCTAAAAGGGACTATGAAATTAAGTTGCTAGGGATTCTAAAACTAACCCAAAAAGTTTTTCCAGGTCTATAGAACAAAGTTAGAGATAAGATAGGTCCCTTAAAAATAACTATGGGCACCTTACTGACAATGAGAATGAAATGTGCTTGATTTTAAATAATTATTTTCTCTCAGTTTTACACAGGAAGACACTAACAATATTCCAGTAATTAATTTTTACAGTGGGCTAGAAGAAGATAAATTATGTAACATCACAGTCACTAGTGAGATGGTTGTGAGGCAGATAGACAGACTGAAGCAAAATAAGTCGCCGGGTCTGATGAGGTTTTTTTCAAGGGTTCTTAAGGAATGCAAAATGGAACTCTGTGAACCATTAACTAATATTTTTAATTTATCTCTTCAAAACAGGTGTAGTGTCTGATATGTGGAAGATGGCTAATGTAACTCCTATTTTTAAAACAGGGGACAAGTCGTTACCGTCAAATTACCGCCCAATAAGCCTGACCTCAATTGTAGGCAAATTACTAGAGTCAATTATAGCTGAGATTATAAGAAGCCATCTCGATAAGCATAGCTTGATTAAGATACTCAGCATGGATTCACAAGAGGCCGGTCTTGTCTAACTAATTATTAACTTTCTTCAGTAAAGCTTTTGAGGCTGTTGACCACAATAAAGAATTTGATATTATTTACTTAGATTTTAGTAAGGCTTTTGATAGAGTTCCGCACCATAGACTGTTAAAGAAAGTGGCAGCTCATGGCATTGGGGGAAAAGTGCTCTCGTGGATCGAGTCATGGCTCACTGACAGGAAGCAGAGAGTGTCCATAAATGGGTTAAATCCGAGTGGGGATCTGTAACAAGTGGCGTTCCACAGGGATCAGTCTTGGGCCCCTTGTTATTTATAATATATATCAATGATCTTGATGAGGGAATTACTAGTGATATGAGCAAATTCGCCGATGACACAAAGATAGGTAGGATAATTGATTCAAATGTAGATGTTAGGGAACTTCAGGAGGATTTAAACAAACTCTATTCTTGGTCAGAAAAAGTGGCAGATGCAGTTCAATGTAGATAAATGCAAGGTTCTGAAGCTTGGGAGTGCCCATAACCCTAGTACTTATAAATTAATGATGTAGAACTTAGCCATACAGATTGCGAAAAGGACTTGGGGGTTATGGTGAGCAGCAACCTTAAAACCAAGACAGCAATGCCTAGCGTACGTAATAAGGCAAATAGATTACTGGGATTTATATCAAGAAGTGTAAGCAACAGAAGTCCAGAGGTCATACTGCAGCTTTATACATCATTAGTAAGGCCTCACCTTGATTATGCAGCTCAGTTCTGGTCTCGTATTACAAAATGGACATAAATTCGTTAGAAAACATTCAGCGTAGGATGACTAAATTAATACATAGCATCAGAAATCTTCCTTATGAAGAAAGATTGAAGACTCTTAAGTTACATTTCACTTGTTAGACGAAGAATGAGGGGAGACCTGATCGAAGTGTATAAGTGGAAGATAGGTATTAATAAAGGGGATATTAATAAGGTCTTGAGGATGTCTCTCCAAGAGAGAACGCGCAGTAATGGATTTAAATAGATAAGTTTAGATTTAGAAAGGACATCGGAAAGTATTGGTTTGGAAATAGGGTAGTTGATGAGTGGAACAGTCTACCTAGTTGGGTTATTGAGGCTGGGACTTTGGGTAGTTTCAAATCTAGGTTGGATAAGTACATGAGTGGGAGGGGTTGGATTTGAGTGGGACTTTCACATCAGAGCTTATTTCTTGGGTGGCATTGAAAATTGGGTAGGGCAAATGTTTTGTTAGTGGGATGAATTGTAAAGGACCTGCCTAGTATGGGCCAGCAGGCCTCCTGCAGTGTTCCTCCTTTCTTATGGTCTTATGTTCTTATGATATTGTTTATTTGGATTTTAGTAAAGTCTTCGATAGAGTACCTCACAAGAGACTCCTAAGTAAAGTGGCAGCTCATGGTATAGGAGGTAAAGTTCTAGCATGGATAGGGACATGGCTTACCAATAGAAAGCAGAGAGTTACCATTAATGGGGTGAAATCTGAATGTGGATTAGTCACTAGTGGCATTCCACAAGGATCAGTTTTAGGCCCTCTTAGTAAATTTGCTGATGATACAAAGATAGGTAATATAATTCATCCTGAGGAGGATAGCAATGAACTCCAGGAGGATTTAGACAAATTAATGTCTTGGTCTGAAAAATGACAGATGAAGTTCAATGTGGATAAGTGTAAGGTACTAGTCCTTGGTAATGAAAATAACCCTCGAATCTATTAGCTAGGTGAAGTAGAGCTTGATCATACAGAATGTGAAAAAGACTTGGGAGTCATGGTAAGCAGAAATCTAAAGCCAAGACAGCAGTGCCTTAGTGTGCACAACAAGGCTAACAGATTACTTGGATTTATCTCAAGAAGTATAAGTAACAGAAGTCCAAAAGTTATTTTACAGCTCTGTACAGCACTAGTGAGGCCTCATTTAGATTATGCTGCTCAGTTTTGGCCCCCTTACTACAGGATGGATATAGACTCATTAGAGAACATACAGAGAAGAATGACTAAAATGATTTACTGTGTAAGGAATCCCATGTATGAAGATAGACTTAAAGCCTTAAATCTCCACTCTCTGGAAAGACATAGAATGAGGGGAGATATCATTGAAGTGTATAAGTGGATGACAGGCATAAACAAAGGAGATATTAATAAAGTACTGAGGGTGTCGAACCAGGTAAGAACCAGAAATAATGGATTTAAGTTGGATAAATTTAGATTTAGAGAGGACATAGGTAAGTACTGGTTTTCTAACAGAGTTACAGATGCGTGGAACAATCTTCCCAGTAGGGTGATAGAGGCTAGGACCTTGGGAAGCTTTAAGAAGAGATTGGACAAATATATGAGTGGGAGGGGCTGGGTTTGATTGGTGTCATTGGGTACGGGAGCTATTTCTTGGGTAGCTTTAGGTAGAGGCATGGGCCAGTAGGCCTTCTGCAGTGTTCCTTCATTCTTATGTTCTTATCCCTGCAACATAATCAATGTAAGTGAAACATCCAGAGAACTTCACAAACTCACCTTAGAATATGAATATGCCAGCTGAACTGAATCTTCAACAACGCCTGCATAATACACCAGAATTACCACAACCACTTGATAAACCGGAATGGTGCATGACTTGTTACAAAAGAAAATAACACCAAGAGAAGATTCCTTGAATCTGCACATATTGTTGTCTCCAGCAGTTTCAACTAGAACAACAATTGCTACAAGTTATCTTAGGAACTAATGTGATCTGGTGTGTATGTCACTTGGTCTCTACCTCAGTGTTGCTCACTATTCATGTCTTCATCTTCTCTTACCAAGTTTATATGTCTATAACTTGATAGAATCCATTGCTTGAATCAGATATCATCAATAAAGGATTCAGTATAACTGTATTTGTGTCTCTAACAATAACTGAATTTTTTTAAATTTGATAAAATGAAATATAAGTACTGTACTAACTTTCTAGATTGGGGAAATTAAACTCTGATGCTTTTTGTATTGTAAAGGAAAAATACATGTTTGCTCTGTTGCAATAAATTATTCAGGTATGTACACCCAATTTTCAGAGGCAAGAAACGTATACTCCGAGGCTGTTGTGCATAGATGTAAAGGGAAGTTTATGTAGTCTTTCAAGTCGTGGTTCTCTATACAGTCCACCACATCCTGAGCCTTCAACCAGTGAGGCTGCTTGGGATGGTCCAGTCGACCTTATACAACAATTACCCGAAGTAAAGAATGAATATCTGATGGATCTTGAACAGGAGGATGCAAGATTTTATAGAGCAGCAGATGAAGACAAGGACATATGTATTGGTTAGTTATGTAGGACTGATGTAATTATTGTACTTGTCACTTTAGTAATCCATGTACAAGTATGCAGCATTGGTGTAGTTATATTATTTACCACTTTAATTGTCCTTGTATAAGCACTCCTCACCGATATAATTACAGCCCTGCATGTCCTCATTTCACAAATATAGTCTTTTCTCCATCTTCAGCATATGTGGATCACTCACAAGGAGTGATACCCTAGCACCTGCTGAGCAAGTTGCCATACTGGACTTTTTTTTTTTTAACACTGACTGTCGCCCACCAAGGTAGAGTCAGATGAAAAAGAGGAAAAACTTTCATCACTCACTCATTCACTGTCTTGCCATAAACCTTCTAACTTCACTGTTCAGATGGCTCTCTGAACTGTGACATTCCCCACCTATCCTTCAGAGTGCAGTCCCATGGCCTGGTAGTTAAACTTGCCTCACACACTGAGTGTCTGTGGTTTGATCCCCAGCAAGGGTGAAAATATTAGGCATGTTTTCTTACATCTATTGTCCCATTCACCTAGCAGCAAGTAGGTACCTGGGTGTTAGTCAACTGGTATGGGTCACATCCTGGTGGATAAGATTTAAGGATTACAGTGGAAATGAGACAGACAGTCCTCGATGATGCACTGACTTTCTTGGGTTATCCTGGGTTGTTAACTCTCCGGGCTTAAAAATTCGAACAAATTCTTATTTCATCTTATCTTACTTCCCACCTCCAGGACTCAGGTTTGGCTAACTGGTTTCTCTGAATCTTGGCATAACTGTTATCTTTCTCTCACTCCAACAGAATGTCATGTCTTATAATTTTTCCTTATGCACAGTACAGTAGATTCATTAACTAAAATATCTGTTGTTCTCTCAGTCTTAGCCATCATACCTAGTAACCACTCTCCTACTTAATTTCATCACTTCTTTCTGTTATTAGCATATTCTCTTACTAACAGTCATAGTACATTTAGGAACACTGAAGAATGCTAGACCACTGAAATCCAAAAATTTGTCTATGAAGATTCATGCATATGCAACCAGGGTACCCTAAAATATTGTAAGCTCTGCATAACAGCATAGGTTGGAGAGCTGTGATATGCAGACATGGAGGTTGCATGATCATTTACGCCCCAAAATGTCCCTCTCTTGGCCTTACATTATTCATATTTCTTAAAATATTAAATGAAATGAACATGAAAAATATTTTTTTTTTTTAACAAGTCAGCTGTCTCCCACCGAGGCAGGGTGACCCAAAAAGAAAGAAAATCCCCGAAAATACTTTCATCATCATTCAACACTTTCACCTCACTCACATATAATCACTGTTTTTGCAGAGGTGCTCAGAACACAACAGTTTAGAAGCATATACGTATAAAGATACACAACATATCCCTCCAAACTGCTAATATCCCGAACCCCTCCTTTGGAGTGCAAGCATTGTACTTCCCATTTCCAGGACTCAAGTCCGGCTATATAAAAATAACCAGTTTTCCTGAATCCCTTCACTAAATATTACCCTGCTCACACTCCAACAGATCGTCAGGTCCCAGATACCATTCGTCGCCATTCACTCCTATCAAACACGCTCGTGCATGCCTGCTGGAAGTCCATATATACATACATATATATAATAAATTAGATGAAATAGGAAATAAAAATTTAATTTCCTTCAGATTTTGACTACACACAAATCTCCAAAAAATTGAATCTCTGTGGGTTTCCACAAATAAAGAGCCACACACATTTGACTTTGCACTATATAATAAAAATGTTTTATGTCATTGATAATGTAAAGACTTGTTCTTCAAACTTATATTTTAAATAATCATGTGCAATGCAAGATAAAAGAAACTTTGAATAATTAAAAACATTTAGTAACAGTTCGAGGTATAATTGTTTTGTAGGAAACATTGTGTGTGTTTAAAGCAACTTAAAAGTGGAGGAGGACATGTCCCCTCCCTCCCCCACCCTACTTAATAACACCCATGGAACGACTAGGTTTTGTAAAGCTTGGCACCTGATGTTTGAAAGTGGTGTGGGCATGTTGCTGTTTAGTGGGCTAACATAAATCATAGTACCTTGGCTTTTATGGAAAGGTACCAACAAAATGAGCAATGGTAAATCTGTTTTCTTTGGAGAAAACAATTGATGTGTTAAAAGATTATAGAGAGTAATGTACTTTTTTATGTGAGGAGGTTATCAAATGAAATATTTGTACTACTGTTTTTGTCTCTAATTATGAGAAAACTTGTTAAGTAAAAGGACACAAATGCAACTAATGTGACATCTTATTGTGACAATGTTTTGCTCTCCAGGAGCTATATCAATCCAGCTTGATAAAGCTCCTGTAGAGTGAAATGTTGCCACAATAAAATGTCACATAAGTTGCATTTGTGTCCTTTTACTTAACATTGTCAGTAATTCTACCAATATTAATATGAGAAAATGTTCTTGGTAAAATTGGTATCATGGTTCATATTTGTTAATATTTTATGCTTCATACTTTTATTGATGATTATTTACTGTTTTTGTTTCTATGTCATTTCTCATATTATATACAATGGATTATTATTAATTTGATTTCTTTAAACAGCTAATTGGGGCGTCTCTTTTTGCAGATGAAGTTCCTGAGGCCCCTTTTGCATTAACTCAAAAAATCTATGACCTGACAAAATCAGTCAGTGTCTGGTCTGATTTTTTGCGTCCTCATCTCCATCCCAGTTCCATATATCTCCTCAATGACACGTCATTCAAAACTGGAAGAGCAACTAGCAACAGTGATGAAGGTATTTGGGGATTTCCATCAGGATCTGCCTTTTTTCAGAGGGATGAAGTGGAAGAAGAAGTATCTGATCGAATTAGACTTATGGCAGAGTCTTGCAACAGTTTACAAGTAAATGAATTTATTATTTTGCATTTTTTAATTACTGTTCTTATGCCAAAACAACAGGTCCCTAACTTGTGATGTTTTGCATTTGAGAGACTGATACTTTAGAGTCAGTTACTTAGGAATGCTGATCAGCCATTACAGTCATTGTTGATATTTAAATGGACATTAACCCTTTCGAAGTCTGTGTCATAGTACTATAGGTTTGAGCTCAGGGTAGGTTCTGTAGAACTACGTGATAAGCTCAGCTCACTCAGATAAGCAGTGAGGTAAATTTGGGTCTAGATATGAGAGTATGGGTCTTTGCGATCAATGTGCACTATATAAAAAAATCCTGACCCACGGAGTGCATGATGTGAAAAAACTGTGACCATGAGGCCTGGTCATGGACCAGGTCATGGGGGTGTTGATCCCCAAAGCCCTCTCCAGGTATACTCCAGGTATGTATATGGTTTAAAAATAGTGACTTTGAAATGTACTTTTGGATGGTTTTATGGTTGTATTCTTAAGTTTCTGTTGCATTTATAGGCTTAAGCAGTAAAAACAATAATACATCATGACAGTGAACTACAGTTACGTATTCACTCTTATTTTTGTAAGACCTGAAGGTCTAAAAAAAATAAAAACACAGTTGCTTGGCTTTTTTGGGGCTCTCAGGAACGTAGTCCTATTTTACCCGCAAGTTCTTCAGTTTATCTAACACAGATTTACCTAAGACAGTGTTTTCAGGAAAATAACTACCGTGTAACAATGGTCTATTGTAGCTTGATATTGAACTCAAGTAGTGGAAATGCTCCACTTTTGCTAATATTCCAGAGGACACAAATTACGTCACTTGTCCAATACATGTCCAACTGGTAAGTCTAATACGAGTTCGCGAATGCGATGACATTATTTATACAATTATTACAATAATGCAGTAGTCTGCATAATAGTAAATCTTTTATTTTTTTGTGGATAAAAATTCAGATTGGAAAGCATGTGTAATATAGGAGTGGCCTGGAGATGTAACTAATGAACAGAGGAAATGTTTTAGTGCCAGGAATATTTACATTGTGTATTTTGAACCCTATTTTTAAACTGCCAGTTTTTTAATTTGGTGTGAAATTGGCCATATTATCAGCCCACACCCCGTAAGTCACTCAGCACTCATAGCCATAAAAAACCTACAATACACAATAAAAACAAGGATTCAATTAACAAACAGTAAAATCAACGAAAAAACACCACAAATAAATACAATTATACCAAGTTATAGTAATTGGTATCTGTTTAAACCCCATTAAATTATTAAAGGCAAGATACACTGCTGAAAGTTGCCATAGGTTTGTACAGGCACATTGGTAGTTAAAAAATTCATGAAGGAGGAAAGGCTCGAGCCGAGAGCAAACTGTTAAAATATGTTCCGTCGGGGATCACAATTTCAGCAAGGAAGGATGGTTGTATATCAGTGGTATTCAATACTGACAAAATAAAGTCACTGGATGGTGAAACATCTACAAGATAACTAGATGTTGCAGCAGTGTCTTATTCTTCATCATGGAAGAATGGGAGGCTTTGAGCTGGGAGACTTCAGTACTGTCAGTTTGAACTGGGAGACTAGTACTGTCAGCCTGAGCCGGGAGACTCCGGTACTGTCAGCCTGAGCTGGGTGGCTCCGGTACTGTCAGCCTGAGCCGGGTGGCTCTGGTACTGTCAGCCTGAGCCAGGTGGCTCTGGTACTGTCAGCCTGAGCTGGGAGGCTCTGGTACTGTCAGCCTGAGCTGGGAGACTCCAGTAGTGTCAGCTACTACACTCAACTATCACCACTGCACTACACTGGATTGTCACCACTACACTGGACTGTCACCACTACACTAAACTGTCACTGCTACACTACATTGGACTGGACTGTCGTCACTACACTCTGCAAACCACGTAGGGGTCATACATGACTGTAATTGGAATAATTTCAAGGTAGCAATAATAAGTGTTAAGTTGTCTACTTAACCCTTTCAGGGTTTCCGACATACTAGTACAGCTTATGCACCAGGGTTATTGACGTACTAGTACGCCTTAATTCTAGCGTCTTCAAATCTAGTGACAGAAAGCTGGTAGACCTACATATGAAAGAATGGGTCTATGTGGTCAGTTTGCACAGTATAAACAAAAATCCTGCAGCACACAGTGCATAATGAGAAAAAAAACTCCGACCGTGTTTTTTAAAACAGCAAATTTGCAGTGTATTTTCATATGATATTTATGGTTGTATTTTAGTTTTCCTGGTCTCATTTTATAGAATGGAAGACATATTACAGAAATTGAGATGATTTTGATTGGTTTCATAATGAAAAGTACCTTGAAATTGAGCTCAAAGTAGCAGAAATGTTCGATTTTTACCAAAGTTCAAAAGTAAACAAATCATGCCAGGCGTCCAATACACGTCAACTGGTGAGTCTAATATTCTTTCACAGGTGTGTTGATATTATTTATACTATTTCTACACTAACACAGTAGTCTGCATAACAGTAAATCTTCTATTTTTTGTGAGAATAAAAATTCAAAGTGGAAAGCAAAAGAGATGCAAGAGGGGCCTGGGGACATGACTAATGAACAGAGAAAATGTTATTGTAGTGCCAGGAATGTCTGTCTAGTTTATTCTGGACCCTATTTGGAAATTGGCATCTTTTGAAATTTGTATGAAATTGGCAAAATTGCCAATTTCTGACCACTTTATTGGATAGTTGAAATCGGTAAATGGGTGGTTTCTTGTACTCATTCGATAGGAAAAATGGAGTTCTAGCAAAATAGATATGGTTTTTGTCAACTAGTACATTGGAATTGGCCGAAAATAGGGCTCAAAGTGGGCGAAATTGCCGATGCATAAACTTCGACAAGACCGCTAACTTTGCAAGAGCATAATTCTGTAAGTTTTCCATCAAATTTCATACTTTTGGTGTCGTTATGATTAGGAAAAGATTCTCTATCATTTCATAAGAAAAAATAATTTTTTTTTTTTTTAAATTTTCGACCCTGAAAACGAATTTAGGAGAGGGCCTCTCAACCCTGAAAGGGTTAAGTCACTTTGGGAGGAGACAGTTCTTGATATCAGTGAGTGTTATTGACTTCATAGTCATAAACAGCATTTTCTTATCATCTGTTCTTATATTTAATTAGTAATTTATTACAGTGGACCCCCTGTTTGCGATATTAATCCGTTCCTCAGAGCTCATCGTAAATCAAAATTATCGAAAAGCGAATCAATTTTCCCCATAAGAAATAATGGAAATCAAATTAATCCATTCAAGACACCCAAAAGTATGAAAAAAAAAAAAAATTTACCACATGAAATATTAAGTTTAATGCACACAAACTGAAGAAGACATGCACAGTTTGTAGTACTCTACTAACAATAGAATATATGACACTTACCTTTAATGAAGATCTGGTGATGATTGATGGGATGGGAGGAGGGGAGAGTGTCGAACTTATTGTTTAGAAGGGGAATCCCCTTCCATTAGGACTTGAGGTAGCAAGTCCTTTTCTGGGGTTACTTCCTTTCTTCTTTTAATGCCACTAGGACCAACTTGAAAGTCACTGGACCTCTGTCGCACAACAAATCTGTCCATAGAGCTCTGTACCTCCCGTTCCTTTATGATTTGTCTAAAATGGGCCACAACATTGTCATTGTAATAGTCACCAGCACGGCTTTCAATAGCTGTGTTAAGGTGATTTTCATCCATAAAGGTTTGCAGTTCAACCCACTTTGCACACATTTCCTTAATTTTTGAAGTAGGCACAATGGATTCCACAACTTGCATAGGCTTCTCAGGGTTAGCCCCAAACCCTTCAAAATCTTTCTTAATTTCCATACTAATTCTCACCCTTTTTACCACTGGGTTGGCACTAGAAGCTTTCTTGGGGACCATGGTGACTTATTTTGCAGAAACAAGCACCAAAAACACTGTGATAATATGGAATGTACCATATGTATCCTTAGATGCGAGCACACTGGCTGGCTTGTAAACACTGGCACACACAGGGCAGTTCAGGCCATACGTGGACACATCTCGGACGAATCGCGTATGGTGGGTTTTTTAACGGGAACCAGGGCAAAATTTTCGAGTTAAAATGTATCGAATACCAGATTTATTGGATACCGATGCCATCGCAAATCGGGGGTCCACTGTACTTTGTTCCTCTTTAGTTCTGCATTTCATTGAAGCTAAATGAAGATGGTTATTAATAATTGGTCAATAGCAGAGGAAAAAGTTTGAAGCAAGTGCGGGAGTCAGAACACCAGTATTGGAAGGACACTCTCAAACAGAAATGAGTAAATCCTGCACAAGTGGCACAGAAGCCCCTCAAAACGAGTATGTATGAAGTGTGCCTCACAGTTATTGGAAGATCCCCTAAAATGGCTATAGATGGAATCTGAACCAGAGCACCTGTTTGCACAACAGATTCAAAAGAGTCTGTAGAATGGGTACGAAATATGTGCAGAAAGTACGAGGTTAATTTTTTTGGAGCTCTTATGCACAACTTTTTGTTTAATGAAGAAAGCTGTAAGCAGATTGCATTAACCTCGCATGGTTCATGTTATCTGGCTGCTATATCCTCTTCATGTTGGGTAACAAAATCTGTGAAGATAGATCTAAAAGTCTCATATCTTTAGTTCAAGAGATGCGCACCCTTCAGGCCCTTAAGGACATCCCAGGAGCACAAAAGATAATAGCAGTTTGTCCCGAACATTTGTCCATAGTGACATAATATGCTGGTGAGACCCTGGCCAACCTCACCGGAAAACATGCACTCAGTTGTGAAAATAAGTTGGATGTACTTTCACAGGTGTGCAAGATTCCGTTTGATATTCACTCTCGTGGCTGGACTCGCCTCGCTAAGAACATCTGCGTAAAATGCACACCTCTGGGACTCCGTGTAACCATCATCGACTATGGCCTTGCTGTTCCTCTCAGTTACAAACTTAACTTTGTGAGTGACACCAAGGCCATACACACCCCACCTGA